ATTTTAGTAGGTATCTCGTTGGAACATCAGCCTAGAAAATTAAAGGAACGAATTATTTTCGGCTGCTTCTTAATAATTTATTTTTATTATTCTTGGAATATGTTCGCCTCGTTAACTGATTTTAACTTTGGAGTGGAATATAAGGAAAGAGAAATAAATACACTTACTGATTTAATCCACAGTGGACTTCAATTTAGTTCTGAATTAGATAAAATAACATTGCTACCCAATGTCATTAGGCAAAAAGATTTTAAAATTTGGTTGAACAACAGTCGAGTGTTCACATATGAGGAATGTGTTGAATTTCTTTTAAATTACAAGAATGTTACTTGTATAATGAGATTGTCACAAGCGGAATGGTACGCTGGCTTCTATAGAGAACGAAATCTCGTAAGATTCGTTCCAGAATATATTATTTCTGTTGGAATTGGATATTTTCTCGAACCTGGATCTCCGTATGTTGAGAAATTTGAAGAAGTACACAGATCACTGATGGAATTTGCATTATTGGAAAGGTGGAAAATGAAGAAGTTACCGAACACAACTAGATATCATCAATTAGATACAATGCTGGAAAACAATTTACTGAATTCAGATAATGATGAACTGAAGATACGATCGTTGCTGATTGGAATAATGATTGCTGGTTATTTTGCATCAATTCTTTCATTTGTCGTTGAGTTGGTTCTTGGCAGGTGGATGCGGAAACAAAGACCTCAGTGAGTTCAAAGGTATGATTTGAAAATTGTGTAAATAGAATTTTATTTTTACTACATATTTCACAAACTTACAATTGCGTTTTTTGGAAAACAGAACCGAATTTCGAATTGAATAAAAAAATTGAAACTATTTAAATATCTTTAAATATTGATATTAATAATTTGAAATATGTTTAAAAATCGGGTAGCGGAACTTATAATTCTGAATACACTTGTAAATTTTGTTGCATATTTTATCAATAGAATGAATCTTTACTTATCATCAAACACATCAAACTTGACCTCTGATAAATCAATAGATGAAAAAAATTATTTCTTTGCAATTGTCGTTGCTAGGTTACCAAGAAACAAACACTTAACAAAAGTAATAATAATAGTAGTAATAGTCGCAAAATAAATAAAATAAAAAGGGGCCTCAGCTCCAAACAAATTTTAGATTATGTTTAGTGATAGTTTTACCTTGATAAAACGTTTATTTCTAATTATTATAAAATCAAAATAAGTTTCTATTGAATATTTTGGTTCTAATGAAGACTTAAACATAAGTGGTTTGTATTATGAGTTAATCATCTTTTTGTATAGTATCACTTTAAAAAACACAAACATTACCCAAAATTTGTAGGGAGCTAATAGGTACCTTTTACCGTGAAGCGTCAAAGATTTGTTAAATATCTGAAATTATTCCAAATCATTTTCTTGTTAATATCAGTTCTTGTGCACAAGAGTCATGACTGCCTCATCTCTCATCAATTTGTTAAGAAAAAAATTTATATTTACATGAATTATAAATTGAACGAAATGTTACAGTTTCGAATATTAATATAATCAACTTGCAACCGAACGAATTATATTTCGTATAATTTTTTAATTTTTATTTGTCCTAATCTTCCTTTAACCTAACTTTAAGCAAATCGAATTTCAAAATCTTATAATATAGTAGATTTAACTTAAGTTTAATTTATAATAAAAGCGAAAATAAATAAATACTAACAAAAGGGTAACCTATTTTTCAAACGTTACAGAGAAAAGATATCTTTGATTTAAAGAAACCAATTTCTTTGACTTGTTTTCTTCCATTTGAAATAAAATTTTCTTTAATTTGAAAAAAAACTTCTTTGAAAGAAAATTTCTTTGAATGAAAAAAATTTGTGCATTAACGCCCTAACATTGATATTGGATCAAAGAAACATTTATTTGAATTAAATAAAAAATTTCTTTGAAACGAAGATAATTTTTTTTTAATCAAAGCTAATTTGTTTGAAACAAATAAATTTTTTTTGTAACAAAGAAAAATTTGTCAAAGAAATTGATTTCTTTGAATGAAAGAAATCTTTTGTCTGGGTATGTATAAAATGGCTTTTAAAGCGAAATATTATTTGTTGGAATTATATAGATTTTCGCATAATTTCTATTTATACTAATAGATTAATGACAAAAATATCCTATTTGTAATAGACTCTACTCTTAATTTTGACGAATTTCAATTATTTAATATAATGTGTTCCTTTATGAACTCCCCCACATAGCACGACATCTTGCTGTGAGGTTAAGGTAAGGATATCTGTAGGGTTTGTAAGGTTACTGTGTAAGCCTACAGTAAACTTGAGGTCATCTTAAAACTTCCGCCATTACAGTAAGCTTACACAGTAAAGCTAAGGTAAGCTTACACAGTAAGGTCGTGGTAAGTTTACATGGTAAGGTTGTGGTAAGCTTACACGGTAAGGTTGTTGTAAGCTTCCTGTAAGGTTACTGTAAGGTTGCTGTAAGATTACTGTAAACATAGAGTAATAAAAAAATATATTAAAAATAATTACATTATAATATATGATGTATTCCACGCTAAAGTGTAAGTCCATCTGCAATTGAATCTCCGATTTTTTTGAGATTTTTTTTTCTTTTAGTACTAACTGAGACCAGCTTCCATGAATTTTTTCAAATTTTTTTAGCAAGCCGTTTTCGAGTTATGGAATTTTGAAAAAAAAATGCATCAATTTTAAAAGTTTTTTTTTCAAAATGTGTGTTTTTAAACGTACTTTTCAAAAAAAAATCGAAAATTTTTTTTAAACGATATTACTATTAAATTTTTGAGTTTTAATGATAAAAGGTAATTTTTCTCATTTGACGTGCTGATCGATTTTTTTCAAAATTTTTTCAAAAAAACTACTTCTTTTTACGAAACTTTTAAGCCTAGCCCGATAATGGGCAAACGATTTTTACAATATTTTCGGAATTTTTCAAAAATTTTTGAATTTTTTAAAAATATTTTTAGTTTTTTTTATACTACGTGCTTTTATGTATTTTGATGCGCTGATTACGAAAATCATAGTGACAATACCCAAAAATTTGATTTTTATGGTGAAAACCGTAAAAAAGTCCCAAAATTTATGGTTTTTTTCGTTTATTGGGTAAAATATGCAAAATTAAAAAAATGTATCAGATATAAAAAATGTATTTTAATAAGATCTATAATTTTTGTTTAAACATTTTTTTTTTAATTTTGCATATTTTACCCAACAAACGAAAAAAATTCAAAAATTTTTGAAAAATTCCGAAAATATTGTAAAAATCGTTTGCCCATTATCGGGCTAGGCTTAAAAGTTTCGTAAAAAGAAGTAGTTTTTTTGAAAAAATTTTGAAAAAAATCGATCAGCACGTCAAATGAGAAAAATTACCTTTTATCATTAAAACTCAAAAATTTAATAGTAATATCGTTTAAAAAAAATTTTCGATTTTTTTTTTTGAAAAGTACGTATAAAACACACATTTTGAAAAAAAAACTTTTAAAATTGATGCATTTTTAAGGAAGTTTTGAGCATTCAAAAATTAAAAGTCATGAAAATTCTCCAATTTTCAAAATTCCATAACTCGAAAACGGCTTGCTGAAAAAATTTGAAAAAATTCATGGAAGATGGTCTGAGTTAGTACTAAAAGAAAAAAAAATCTCAAAAAAATCGGAGATGCAATTGCAGATGGACTTATACTTCGGCGTGGAATACATCATATATATTATACTATAAATTTTTTTTTATAAAAAATTATATATTTGGTAAAGTACTTCATGAACCCCAATAGGGTTTGTTAAATAAAATTTACTGCGCAGCCGTATGTGCCATAGAATACTACTGCGCATAAATATTAATAAAATTTATTTATTAATAACATTCTATGTTTACAGTAACCTTACAGCAACGCAGTAAAAATACTGTCATCAAGTTGTAAATTTACAAACCGGAAAGTTAAAAGGCTATACATAACCTAAAAGTTGTTTTGTTTATATTTTATAATTTTTTTTACTTATTTTCTGTTACTTTCAGTTAAATAAGTATACGTTTTTCCAACGTCCGACGTAGTAAAATTACACTGGCATTTTTTTGTGTGCAAATATTAATACTGGTTGACAACACAACTCTTTATAGGTTATGCTATACAACAAGCAGTAATACATGCCATTTGTTCAAAAGTTGAAGCTTTTCTGGTAAAGTAAGAAAAAAAATAATATAGTTTATTAATTTTTTAATATATATGTATAATTTTATTTGACAAAAAATTGAAAAATATGAAAATATAAATTTTCACATAAACTCAACAAATAATAGCAGACGACATGAAACAATGTTGCCAATCATTGTATTAAAACTCATTGAGTCAAATGAGAACTTAAATGGACATTGTTTTGACTGCCAATGTAGGGAGAGAACCTAAATATCTTATAATTTACATTGCTACCAACGTTGAAAAATTACATTTTACAATGTTACCACGATTCTGAGTTTGTTTCAAATTTTTATTTTACAATTTAGTAAAAATAAATTTATTTAAATTCCATCATTATACTAATTTTTAGTAATAATGTGTGCTTTTGTAATTATTTAATGTTAAAACTGGTGTATGTAGCTTAAATAAAAAAAAATTATTTTCCCTAAATGTCACAAATTTTTTGCCATAAAGCAAATACCATTTCTAATAATAATTTTTCCTTAATAATTTCTTTTGCATCGTACTATCAATTATATCTAATAAAAAGTCCTATTTTGAAAAAAGATAAAAAGACTTAATTTTATAGTAATTAAAAACTTTATTTCATATAATTAGTTCCCCAACATTGGGATTAATATAAGAGAGACTTTGAATTTTAGTTTCGATAACAAAAAAATTTGTTCGCATACAGTGAAACTTAAAATTCACGTATAAAAGCATTCAAGTATATCACGATTCAGATCGTAATTTAAATTGTATATTCATATACATCTATTAAACTATTTTTTCATTACAATTGTAATATCACAGTTTAAATAAAATATAACTGAAATTACAAAAGATTTTTTAAATAATATAAAAATTATTTAAATAAAGTAACATAAACAAGAACATAAACTAATTTAATTTCTTCTCGACAATTATTAATCATCACTTTCATCGGACGATGAATTATCACTATTATTATCCTCATTATCCTGAAATTGATCAACCGATGATTCACCATCACTGTCTTCGGTTAATTTTATTGATTCGACTATTAATTTTTCCATGAAACTATTTGGATAGAATGCTGCATACAAACTTCGTAAATCAGTTGTTGACAATGTTTTTAACATTTTTTTAACAAAGATAGAAGGCAATTGAAATAATTGCATAAATAATGTTTCACATTTTTTTAACAAAATATATCGTTGCCTTGATTTTTTGATACGAAATTTTAAAAATCTTTTCCAATATCTATACGGTTCTCTTTTCATTATTGTCGAAATATGAAAATCTCCTGTTAAATATGAATTTGCCATTTTATTTTCACCAAAAATTAAAATAAACATCACATTAAATTGTTCAGATGTTTTAATATCAATTGCATCAATTTTCATATGTCTTTTGGAGTATATAATTTTTCGTCGACTTAAAATTGTTTTATCAATATGTTTACAATTGAGTTTTAGCCAAAAAAAATGTTTCATTAACGTTGAGCATATGTAATCTTCATCAATATTTTTCCTCCACAATGCATTGTGACAGGGATATTTTGTCATAAGCTCAAATGCAGTGTCGTTATTGATATTTTTTAAATTAATATCAGCACCGTAAAACAATAAAAGTTGAACGGCAATTGCATTTTTATTACGAACAGCAGTGTGAAGAGGTGTTTCACCTTCCAATAGTGAGCGTGAATTTGGATTTACACCGAATTTCAAAAATAATTTGACAAAATCCTTTTTTTGCCAATTTGTCATTTTCACCTGTTCAGTTAGTAGATAGTGAAGAGGTGTAAGATCATTGCTATCTTTTGCTGATAATTCAGCGCCGTAAAACAATAGTTTTTGCATTAATTCTTTATCCACTTCTTTTTGTTTGAGGGTAAAATGTAAAAGTGGCATTCCACTTTTTGTTCTTTGTTCTTTAAATGAAACGCCGGCTTTGTAAAATATTTCAATCCATTCAAATTTTTCTTTAGCTATTAATTCAAATAGAGGAGGTATTTCGTGACTGCAAATAGATTTTTTAATATCACCGCGTTTAATTAATTGTTTTAGTAGTGGTAAATTGTCTCCTTCAATTGCTTCATGTAAAAGACGATCTTGAATTGTTCCATTTTTATCGCAGTTTCCTTGAAATAAAAGTGATTCAAATAATTCTGTAATTTCTGTTTCTAATTTCATAAGACGAAAACAATCATCTAACTTGATCTCAGCGGCAAGATTCTTTTTATTTTCGGTGAAAAAATTGAAAATTTTATGTAATTTTTGAACATTATTTTCTTTTACGGGAATTTGTTTTTCCTCTTTTTTTTCATCGTCGACTTTCAATCGTTTTCTCATTGAATATCTTGTTTCCTGTAAAACAAAATTAAATTTATAATTTTTTTATTCGAAATGTTTTGAATTTATTATTTATTTATTAAAATTTTTTTTTGAATTAATTAAATTTTTTTGGATTTTATTATTTATTATTTATTATTTCCTGTTATAAAAAAAGATTAAATAAAATTTATAATTTATTCCTATATCAAAATTTAAATATAAAATAATTAATATTATTGTTTTTTGTTATTCAAGAGGATTTGGCATTTTCTCTTAATAAAAATATAATTGATAATTCAAATTATGTAATTATTGATGACAAAAATGTAGGAGATTAAATTTTTTTACTATTTAATTTTATATTATGAACAAATAAAAAATTTTAAATACGAGTGATTGAAAAATAAACAACGAAAAAGGTATTTTAAAAAAACTGACGATGAAAAATAATTCATATTTTCAATACAGTTGAATTTTAAATGGATGAGCAGAAAAAATATAGGTATGTATTTTTATTTTTTATTCTAAAGAATCTAAAACCAATATTCATTATTGTATTAAAATAGATTTTTTATTATTATAAATAGAAAAAAAATTAACAATTTAAAATATGTATTTTTAATATTTTTGAAAACTTTTTTTTTATGCAAAAATACAATTTTTTAAAAATTCATATGCGATTAATAATATATTGCTCATAAAAACATGAAAAAAAATGTCAGATAAAATAATGAAAAATAATTAAAATAATAATGGAACAAATATAATTTATAATTTGTAAATAATTTTCAATTTAACAGGCCTCGGATCGACTTAAAGGCACAAAAAAAGTCTTTTTAGTCGATTTATATTCCAAAAAAAAGTCGATTTTTTTATTTTAACAAAAATATTTTACAGATTTTTAAATAAAAAAATTTTTTTTAAATAATAATACTTTTAGAAGGGATAAAGTGATTTTTAATTTAAAATTTTTGATGATTTCACAAAAAAATTTATTAGAAATTGTAGACAATAAAAAAATAATAAACAAATAACAAAATAAATAATAACAATACAATACAAAAATTTAAAAAACCATTTTTAATTGAAAAATGGTTTCAGATAGTTGAATTTTCGAAGAATATTATAAAAATAATTTAAAATAAATGAATTTCTGTAGAGTTATAATTGAAATTATTAAATTTCAAGAAATTTTCGATGGAAAATTTTAGAAATAATTAAATTTTAAATGCTTTTAAATTTATATGTTTGAAAATAATTGAATTTTAATTGAAATTTTGGATAATAATTAAATTTTAGTTGATTTTCGATTGAAAATTTTGATAATAATTAATTTTGAATTGGAATTTTTGAGAATAATTGAATTTTAGTTGATTTTGAATTGAAAATTTGGAAAATAATTGAATTTTATTTGATTTTAAATTGAAAATTTGGAAAATAATTGAATTTTAAAAGATTTTGAATTGAAAATTTTGAAAATAAATGAATTTTCTTTGATTTTGAATTGAAATTTTGGGAAATAATTGAATTTTAATTGAAATTTTGGATAATAATTTAATTTTAATTGATTTTCGATTTAAAGTTTTAATAATAATTAATTTTGAATAATATTTTAATTTTATTTGATTTTAAATTGAAAATTTGGAAAATAATTGAATTTTAAAAGATTTTAAATTGAAAATTTTGAAAATAATTGAATTTTCTTTGATTTTGAATTGAAATTTTGGGAAATAATTGAATTTTAATTGAAATTTTGGATAATAATTTAATTTTAATTGATTTTCGATTTAAAGTTTTAATAATAATTAATTTTGAATTGAAATTTTGGATAATATTTGAATTTTATTTGATTTTAAATTGAAAATTTGGAAAATAATTGAATTTTAAAAGATTTTGAATTGAAAATTTTGAAAATAATTGAATTTTTTTTTATTTTGAATTGAAATTTTGGTAAATAATTGAATTTTAATTGAAATTCTGGATAATAATTGAATTTTAATTGATTTTCGATTTAAAGTTTTGATAATAATTAATTTTGAATTGAAATTTTGGATAATAATTGAATTTTAATTGATTTTAAATTAAAATTTTGGGTAATAATTGAATTTTAGTTGATTTTCGATTTAAAGTTTTGATAATAATTGAATTTTATTTGCTAATTTTTTTAAATTTAAAAAAATATAAACATTTCTTAAATTTCAAAAAATTTTGATTGAAAAATAATTTGAAATAATTTAATTTGTAATGAATTTTATTAAAATTATTAAAAATAATTAATTTAGTGAAGAATTTTAGTTAAAAATTTGTTAAATAATTGAAATAAAGAAGATTTGCATTTTATACTAAAAAAAAAATATTTTATTTAAAAAATTGTTTTAAAAATGTAAAAAAAGGTCGAAAAAGGTCGTATTTTTGAAAAAAAGTAGGAAATAGTCGAAAAAGTCGTATAATCCGAGGCCTGAATTTTAATTATATAAATTAAATTTTTTAATTATAAAAATTGAAAAAAATTTTATTTCTAAAGTAATAATTAAAATAATTTGATTTTTTTCGTCTGTCAAATAACCTAATTTTGCAATTTTTGACATTTCAAAAAAAAAAAAAAAAAAAAAAGAATGGAGTAAAAATAATTAATAATTATAATTTTTTTCCTGACATTATTTAGGCTCAAAATTTATAAAAATCATTTTAGAAATTTTATTTTTTCAAAAAATAAAAATTCCTTTAAATCCATAATATGGATTGTTGAAAGTCATAAAAAAGTATAAAAACAATTTCAAGTTTTCCTAAATTTTCAGTTTTATTTCAAAATTTGTTAATTTAATAAATTTATTCATTTTTTTTTTTGTTAAAAAAATGTTTCTTTTGAAAAAAATGCATTTTACTAATTGAAAGGGAGTCATTATTTAAGAAAAAAAATTATTATGTATTGTGTAGATTTTTTCTAAAAATACATTTAAGAAATATTAAAAATTGAAAAGTTATATGCGAAAAAAAACAAAATACAATTCATCTTATAGGTTATGTCAGCTTCTCATATTATACTAGAAAAATTTTCAATAATAACTAATTTATACAAAATACAAACGTTAACACTATTTTTATACTTGTATATACTCACTGGAGGCTTTCGATTATTCATTTTAATGGTAGAAAAATTGAGTAGCCGATCAAACGGAAGAAACAAAAAAAAACAGCCAAGAATCAAGATCGCCAGCAGGAAATCCAGAATGATAGAGATCAGGGAGATCAGTGGTACCAACACAAAACTTCTTTTTTCTGCTGTTGACACTTGACACTACTTCCGCCCGCGAATTTATATAAATTGAAAAATCATTAACATTTTTTTTTATAATAATAGAAATGAATAAAAATGAGTACTCAAAAATAATTTTTCTATTTTACACTGCAATTTGTCATTTTATAATGCAATTAATAACATTAATCTAACTAGTTAAGTAAAATTATTAAAATAATTTTATTAATTTAAACAATTTCACAAAACACTATAAATTTAATTATTTTGTTTTTTATTCTTTTTTAAAAAAAAAATTATAATTGAACCTAAATACCTAGATTACAATTTTTAACTTTTAAAATTGGTAACTATCAAAATGCACCAAAGGCAGTTTGCGCCAAACGGCGTTTGACCCAATATGCTATAGTTAGTGTCATTCTCGATGGTGAATGAGAAATCTGTAAAAATGATAAAAGTGAAGGTCTGAGAAGCCCGCGAGATGTCTATAGTATCACATTTTGTGTATTATTACAAATAGACATTGGCGTGGAGATTTAGTGAATGCAGAAAATAAAGTGAAATAGTTTTCTTCGCGGAAATAGTGAACGTGATGTTTTTATAAATAAGTAAATTGCTTATTTGATTAATTAATCAATTAATATTATGAATTAATTAATTAATATTATCAATTGATGGAATAATTAATTAATTAACATTATTGATATTATCAATTGATTGATTAATTAATTAATTAATTAATATTATCAATCAATTAATTAATTAATTAACAGTGACTGGAAGAAATAACGAGTAGTAAAATTATGGATACCCATATTGAGGTTAGTTTAAATTTTATTTTCAATGAAAATAATAATAATTTTGCGATTGCATAAAAATTTATTTTTTTCAGCGATCTCATGTAATGAATTTTCATCTAATTACATCAATTTAAACGCATGTAAAATGGTAAAAAAAATGTATAACTGCTAAGGTTTACTCAACTGTAAATTGAATTTTATTAAGAATATATTTTTACAACAAACATGGAATAAGTTAACAATGATTAGACACCTTCTAAATCATATTGGCATTTTTCATTTTTAAAAATAAAATTTTTATTCTATTCTAAAACCATGCTAATTAAAAAAATTCTATTCCTAGCATAATAGACGCCAGAGTTATTATTGTTATTGTGAACGTGGGCCTAATTATTATTCGATTTACTAAACAATAATTTTGCGATAGCATAAAAAATTATTTTTTTCACCGATCTCATGTAATGAATTTTCATCCAATTACATCAATTTAAACGTATGTAAATTTCACTGTGATAGTTTACTCAACTGTAAATTGGTTTTCATTAAGAAAATATTTTTACAACAAACATAGAATAAGTTGATAATAATAATAATTTCAAATTTCTTATAAATTATGATGGCATTTTTTACTTTTGGAAATAAAATTTTTATCCTATTCTCCAACTATGCTGATTAAAATAATTCTATTCCTTGCTTGATAGTCACCAGGGTTATCACAGTTATTGTTAACATGAACCTAATTGTTGTTCGATTTAGTAAACAATTATTTTTCGATAGCATAAAAAATTATTTTTTTCACCGATCTCATGTAATGAATTTTCATCCAATCACATCAATTTAAACATATGTAAAATGGTAAAAAAATGTAATACTGCGAAGGTTTACTCAACTGTAAATTGATTTTTTATTAAGAAAATATTTTTACAACAAACATGGAATAAGTTAACAATGATTAGACACCTTCTAAATCATATTGGCATTTTTCATTTTTAAAAATAAAATTTTTATTCTTTTCTAAAACCATGCTAATTAAAAAAATTCTATTCCTAGCATAATAGACGCCAGAGTTATTATTGTTATTGTGAACGTGGGCCTAATTATTATTCGATTTACTAAACAATAATTTTGCGATAGCATAAAAAATTATTTTTTTCACCGATCTCATGTAATGAATTTTCATCCAATTACATCAATTTAAACGTATGTAAATTTCACTGTGATAGTTTACTCAACTGTAAATTGGTTTTCATTAAGAAAATATTTTTACAACAAACATAGAATAAGTTGATAATAATTTGTACATCGTCCAAATCATATTGGCATTTTTTATTTCTGGAAATAAAATTTTTATCCTATTCTCCAACTATGCTGATTAAAATAATTCTATTCCTTGCTTGATAGTCACCAGGGTTATCACAGTTATTGTTAACATGAACCTAATTGTTGTTCGATTAAGTAAACAATTATTTTTCGATTGGCTAAAAATTTATTTTTTTCAGCGATCTCATGTAATGAATTTTCATCTAATTAGATCAGTTTGAACGCATGAAAAATGGTAAAAAAATGTATAACTGCGAAGGTTTACTCAACTGTAAATTGAATTTCATTAAGAAAATATTTTTACAACAAACATAGAATAAGTTAACAATGATTAGACACCTTCTAAATCATATTGGCATTTTTCATTTTTGAAAATAAAATTTTTATTCTATTCTAAAACCATGCTAATTAAAAAAATTCGATTCCTAGCCTAATAGACGCCAGAGTTATGATTGTTATTGTGAACATTTGCCTAACTGTTGTTCGATTTAGTAAACAATTATTTTTCGATTGGATAAATAATTATTTTTTTTAGCGATCTCATGTAATGAATATTCATCTAATTAGACCTGTTTACATGCGTTTAAACTGATCTAATTAGATGAAAATTCATTACCTGAGATCGCTGAAAAAAATAATTATTTATCCCATCGAAAAATAATTGTTTACTAAATCGAACAACAATTAGGCCCATGTTCACAATAACCATAATAACTAGGGTGTCTATTATGCTAGGAATAAAATTTTGTTAATTAGCATAGTTTTAGAATAGAATAAAAATTTCATTTCCAGAAATAAAAAATGCCAATATGATTTGGACGATGTACAAATTATTATCAACTTATTCCATGTTTGTTGTAAAAATATTTTCTTAATAAAATTCAATTTACAGTTGAGTAAACCTTCGCAGTGAATTTAAACATACGTTTAAACTGGTCTAATTAGATGAAAATTCATTACATGAGATCGAGGAAAAAAATTATTTTTTTTCCAATCGAACAATAATTGTTTACTAAATCGAACAACAATTAGGCATATGTTCACAATAACAATCATAACTCTGGCGTCTATTAGGCTAGGAATAAAATTTTTTTAATTAGCATACTTGAAGAATGGAATAAAAATTTAATTTTTGAAAATGAAAAATGCCAATATGATTTAGAAGGTGTCTAATCATTGTTAACTTATTCCATGTTTGTTGTAAAAATATTTTCTTACACGGAGAGAAATCTGGTGCGATTTACGCATGAGCATGTCCTTAGGAATATAGTAACAGACGCTTTCAAGCAAAAATCCTAAGTGAGCGAGGTATTATTGTATGAGTCTCATCTGATATTCAGATGGAATCTTATGGTTTTTGCTTGGAAGTGTCCATGCTATATTCCTATGGACTTGCTCATGCGCAAATCGCAGCAGATTTCTCTCCGTGTAATGAAAACCAATTTACAGTTTAGTAGACTTTCGCAGTGAATTTTACATACGTTTAAATTGATCTAATTAGATGAAAATTCATTACATGTGATCGCTAAAAAAAATAATTATTTATCCAATCGAAAAATAATTGTTTACTAAATCGAACAACAATTAGGTTCATGTTAACAATAACTGTGATAACCCTGGTGACTATCAAGCAAGGAATAGTATTATTTTAATCAGCATAGTTGGAGAATAGGATAAAAATTTTATTTCCAAAAGTAAAAAATGCCATCATAATTTATAATGAATTTGAAATTATTATTATTATTAACTTATTTTATGTTTGCTGTAGAAATATTTTCTAAATGAAAACCAATTTACAGTTGAGTAGACTTTCGCAGTGAATTTTACATGCGTTTAAATTGATGTAATTAGATGAAAATTCATTACATGAGATGGCTGAAAAAAATAAATTTTTATGCAATCGCAAAATTATTATTATTTTCATTGAAAATAAATTTTAAACTAACCTCAATATTGGTATCCATAATTTTACTACTCGTTATTTCTTTCAGTCACTGTTAATTAATTAATTGATAATATTAATTAATTAATTAATTAATTAATTAATTAATTAATCAATTGATAATATCAATAATGTTAATTAATTAATTATTCCATCAATTGATAATATTAATTAATTAATTCATAATATTAATTGATTAATTAATCAAATAAGCAATTTACTTATTTATAAAAACATCACGTTCACTATTTCCGCGAAGAAAACTATTTCACTTTATTTTCTGCATTCACTAAATCTCCACGCCAATGTCTATTTGTAATAATACACAAAATGTGATACTATAGACATCTCGCGGGCTTCTCAGACCTTCACTTTTATCATTTTTACAGATTTCTCATTCACCATCGAGAATGACACTAACTATAGCATATTGGGTCAAACGCCGTTTGGCGCAAACTGCCTTTGGTGCATTTTGATAGTTACCATTGATTTACTCTGAAATAATGTAGAAAACTATTATTCAAATGATACAATTACCGACTACTCGCAAATGGTAACTAAATAGTAATGTCCAACTATCATGTTAGATGTCAGCAAAAGTTTATTCTATAGAAAGAAAGCAGATGGCATTATAGGGAAATGTTAATGTCAAATGTCAATGATGTCAAAAAGTTGCACTCATTACATTATTTTTAATCGTAAATAATTTTTTTGCAATTTTATTTTAAGATTTTAATTATATTTTACACTATAAAATGAATGTAAAAAAATTTAACAATTCTCTGACCAATTTTATATTATTCAAATAAAGTGATGTCACATAGTGAATTAAATGTGTAATTTTTTTTTTCAAAATATGTAAAATGAGGTTATGTTTTGATTTCATTTTTGGTTTTTAACAAATTTTTAAAAGTTTTTCTCTATCTTTTACTATATATGTATATATGTTTGAACAAAAAATGGAAAATGTTACTAATAAAGAAACTTTAAATCTTCTTGATTTACTATCAGAAACTGAATCCGATGTTTCGGATTTGGTATTCACACCTCAAAGAAAGAAAAAAATTAAGAGGTAAGTTTTTAATATTGTATAATTATTTTGTTGTTCAAAAAAAAAAACAAAGGTATTTGAAAATAAATGTTTATTTATGATTTTTTGAGGTTAAAGTATATTTCAAATTCATTTTTTATTACAAAAACTTGTAGAATTAATATTTTTTTTTAAAACAAATTTATTAATTACAATTTCGTGTGTTTATAATTTTGTTATGTAAAAAAAGAACACGATTCGATTATTTATTTACTTATTTACATGTAAACGGACTTATAAAAAAAAACAATTGTTTTTTTAATAAAAAAATTATTAAATATAATGAATTATAAATAAATTTTTCATTATTATCCCATAAACTGCTATAATAAATAAATAATTATTAATTAATTATAACTAAATTGTAAATAAATTAATATTCATTATTGTTAGAAATGATTTGACATAATAAAAATGCTTTATTTCAGACGATATCGTCCTCCAAGTGCAGTAAAAATGAAACAAAATAATTTTTGTGGATGCAGAAGATCTCAAATAAAAATCACTTCATTATGGATTGCTGCTGTTTTAATTACATTATGGCTAATGGCTCTTTCATGGTTGGCTGTTATTTTATACGGGGAACTGGGAAAAATGGATATTTCTATAAAGTCTAGTAAGTATATGCAATATTTATTTTAAAATTGAAACAACCTTGATTTAGGTAAATATACATGCAAAGAGATAATATTTATGAATTATGTTTACTTATATATACTTGATAAAATGTAATTTACATTTATCTTCTATTTATAACTTTAATATTTTTTATTATTATTTATGTCTGCTAATTATAATTGTTAAATATATATATGCATTTAAAACATTTTTTTTTTAGAATTTCATTAACGTTTTTAATTATCGTATGAGCTATTATAATTATTACACTAATTTTTTTTTTTTTTTTTCTACTTTTGATCAATTCATTATAATTTCGAGTAAAAGTCGTCGATGAATAATTTACTCTGTAACTATTTCTCGTCGTGAACCAAAATATTTAAATCTGCTGAATAATTTTAAAAATTATAATTCTTTACAGAAATGATTACGAAATTGAAAAAAGTTTATAAACTTTTTTTTGTTATTTCTATTGTAAATTATATGAATTCAAAATGTATGAGTTGATGAAAACTGTTGGTTTTTCCAACTAATTGAAATTATTTAAGAAAACATACGCGGAAAGAAAATAAAAATCAAATAGGGTATTTTCAAATTTTTTAAAAATATTTTCAAATCGTGAAAAATATGTGTAAAAAAACAAATTTTTATAAAAGAAATACTAACCTTTTTATAAATTTTTATGAAATTTTACAATTGTTATATTAAAATTTGCGGTAAAACGTATTTTATTAAATTCTGTATTATGTTTATAAAAGTTATATTCTAAATTTTAGAATTTCTTATATGAAAAATATACTTTTTTTATCATTTTTTCCACGACTTTGAAAATATTTTAATATAAATTTTAAATGTATTTTCTTTCCATGTACAATAATAGATAAAATATGATTTTAAAATTCACCTGTTGAATAATCTAATTTTGCAATTATTATCCATTATAAATTTATAATTAGAAGAATGTGGAATTATAAAATTAAATAAAAACTTACTTTAAAATCATTTTTTATTCATTATTTCATATTTTTAAAATACTTTTATCAATTTATATATTATTTATAATAATACATTAAGTAATTGTTAGTAAAACTAAATTTCAATAAATTTTTTACACTTTTGTTGTAAATTGTATGTTTTCTTAAATATTTTCTACTTTCTGAAAAACCGTCATCATTTTTGTCATTCCAAAGGTGACAAAATCGTTTCGTTTTTCTCAAAATTAAATTTTCGATATTCTTACACTAACGTCGCAATTTTTATTATTTTTCAGTGCTGATTTTTTAATATACTTTTTTCATTCTGATTCTGAATAATCAATCTTATGTATTTTGAAAAAATTAAATGTTTTAAAAATTATTGTGAAATATGATTTCAGGTTCTAAAAAAATTTTTTAAAAAAATTGTTATCCCTAAACAAAAAAAAAAGTTTAAATTTTATCAATTATTCCTTAAAAATTCACAATCAATCGTATGGATTTTTAAAAGTTTTAATTTTTTTAAAAAATAAAATTTCTAAAATGGTCAAAAAATTTTTTTTTTTTTTAATTTTGATAATTCACAATAATTTTTGATCTCAAATAATGCCAGAAAAAAAAAAATTGACACCCTTTAACAACATTAATTTGGATGAGTTGAAATTTCACCGCTCCCTCTCCTTAAAATTAATAAATTGAAAAATTTTTTAAAATTATTTTAGATATTTTGAAAGAATTAGTCGATGAAGTTTAAAAATTAATTTTTCGTTTTACTAACAAAATTTTTTTAAATTATTTTGAATATTTTACAAAATAATTCGATAAAATTCAGGCCTAGGATTATACTTCTTCAATTTTTTTCGACTTTTTTTACATTTTTTTTAAAAAAATTTTTAAACAAAATACGTTTTTTAGTATAGAATGCAAATATTCTTCACATAATCATCTTTATTTCAATTATTTAACAAATTTTTAACTAAAATTCTTCACTACATTAATTATTTTTAATAATTTTAATAAAATTCTTCACAAATTCAATTATTTTAAAATATTTTTCAATTTAAATTTTTATGAAATTTAATAATTGTTTATATTTTTATAATTTTTAAAAAATTAGCAAATAAAATTACCAACAATTTTTAATTCAAAATAACTTGATATTTAATTATTTGCAAAAATTTTAATTATTTTTAATGACTAATAATATTCTTCGAAAATTCAATTATCTGAAAGCATTTTTCAATTAAAAACTTTTGGAATTCAATTTTTTTATGTGATTAATAAATTCTTCATCAACAGAAATCACTTAAAATTTCTCTTATTATTAATTATTGTCTGAATTTTAACACAATCTTTTAAAATTCAATTATTTTCAAAAATTTCAATTTAAAAGCTTCTCAAATTTTATTATTTCTAAAATTTTCCATCTAAAATTTTTTGAAATTTAATTATAACTCTCCTGAAATTCAATTTATTTTTAATGATTTTTATATAATATTCTTCGAAAATTTAACTATTTAAAACAATTTTTCACTTAAAAAGTTTTCAAATTATTGTATTTTTGTCTGCAATTTTCTAATAAATTTTTTAGTGAAATTATCAAAAATTTTTAATTAAAAATCACTTGAAGTTCAATTAATTTCAAAAATCTCAATTGTAAATCTTTGAAAATTCAATTAAATTTAAAAAATGTTATCCAAAAATTATTTGATAAATTACTTTTAGTACTGTAAAATTTAATTATTGTCTGAAAATTAACAAAAAACTTTTTGAAATTCAATTATTTTCAAAAATTTCAACTTTAACTCTTCCAAAATTATTAAAAAAAAAACAATTTATTTTAATATCTGTAAAATTTGATTAAGTATTGCCTGAAATTTTTTTGATCATCAAAACTAAAAACTATTACAAAATTTTCCAAAATTTTAAATTCGAATAAATTACTTAAATCAGACATCAAAAATTTATAAAAAAAGGAACTTAAAATTTTTTTTTATAAATTTGTCCTATTTAAATAAAATTTTGAAAATTTGTCTTACAATTAATTCGACTCTGAAATATTCGAAATTGTAAATTTTCTTGATAATTTTATTTATAGAGTTTTTCTCATTACAGAATTAATTAAATGAATTTTATATTTAATAACATTATTTATTTAATGTAAAATATTAATTATTAAACAATTAAATTTTGTTAAAATAAAAAAAATCAACTTTTTTTTGGAATATAAATCGAGTAAAACGACTTTTTTTTTGTCTCTTAAAGTCGATCCGAGATTTGTAAAATTTTGAAATTAATTTTTTTGCATATAATAGTCAAAATTTTTAAATTAAATTTTTTTGTAAACTTTTTTTATAAAATTGTTTTAATTTAATAAATAGTTTTTCATAAGAAAAATTATTTTCGTTTTCATAAAATTAAATGAATTTTTTTCCTCTCTCTCTCTCTCAACTATCAAATTTCTGTTTCTTAACTATTATATATACATATGAATCATATGTGTGTGAAATCAACCCTCGTTAAGCTACCCTTCACTTGTCTCAATGTCGGGCAATCGACCGGGGAGAGCCTCTGGCATTACGCGGAAACACGAAGGCGACAGCACAGTCGCAGTTTTATTTCAGAATCGCATCTAGGCGGTGGTCTGTATTTTTGTGCGCTGTTTTTATTTCAAAAATTATGATAACAAAAATTGAAAATATTCAAAAATATTTTCAATTTTTTGTGAAATATAAAGTGTCAAAGTGTTTATAATATCGATCAAGAAAGAAGAAAGTGTCTTTATGGTTAATAATAATAATAATAATAGTAAAAATAATAGTAATAATAATAATATTAATATTCTACAAGTTTTGAATTTTAGAAAAAAAATTTTTACTTTAATTTTCTCATTTTTGGAAATTACATTTGCGCATGTAAAATTATAAGAGATACACTCTGATACGTTTTGTATTATAAATATAATTTGACATAATATTAATTTACATTTTTTTACTTAATGTTTATAATTTACAATTAATTTATACTATACGTTTATAATTTATATTTACAATTTTTTAATTAATATAATTTCACACTTGACATTAATTTATTATTTACTTTTATTTATTTAATTCTATTTAATTTAATTTTTTTGAAAATTATTTCTTTAAAGCAAAATTTTATATAAAAATTTATCAATATTTATATACTTTTCTCATCTATAATGAACAGTGTGAAATTGTATATGAAAATTTTCCACGAACTATTTTTTAACGTATAAACTATATTTGTGACGAACTATTTAACAACTCTGCGTGTTAATTATTTACATATCATTACACTATTTTTTTATTTTTATTTTTTAATGAACACAAAATATTTATCTTTGAAAAAATTGCAATTGCTACATTTTTTTTTATTAAAAAAGTAAAATAAAATAATTTTAGAATTCAATGAAATGAGAATATTTTTATTGTGTTAATTTTCTGTTATAAAAGTCGTCTTATTAAATAGTAGTTATTTTTCTTTTACTTTTTTTTTTTGCGAATTATCACTCACGGAAAAATGTAATTATACCTCGCGAAACGTTTGTATATATATGTATATATCTATATAAATAATATTCTCTTCTCTCGAGGCGTCGTTGTTCTTTATCTTTTAAAGGCTCTGAATTACTAACATTTTTCCAAGCTTTCCGTCGTCATTTCCAATTAACTTCAAGAGACAAAATTTACTTCTACTTAAAAGTTTGCGTAATAAAATACAAGAAAAAAAAAATAAATAAATTTGTCGACTCTCTATTTCACATTAATTAACCATATAAACCATTATTTGTCTTTTAGTCTCTTTTTACATAAAAAATTTTTTTTTTATTTCTCAATTTCTTATAGCAATCAAAAAATTTGATTTCGCATTTTATTAAAAAAAAAATTTTACTTAAAAAAAAATTCTATTTTAGTAATAATAAATTGAAAGTATAAATCAAAATTATAATTAATATAATTATTATAAAATTTAAATATAAAAATAAGTATCTACTTAAAAATTGAATAATAATGTAAAAATTAATTATTTTCAAATATAAATCAATATTCAAAATTTATCCTTTATAATCAAATTGTGTATTGATTTTTTTTTAACAACAAAATAATCACGTGTATTATTATAATTTATATAATAGAATTTAAAGTGTCGTAAATATTTGTACAGAGAAATATCAAGAGATAAATTTTGTAGAAGCATGGCAATAATTGAAAGGACAACCTTGTCTCTGATATTTATTGTCAGCTGTATATATATGAGACATTGAATTTTTTAAATAGGTTTTTTTTTTCCTTTGAGAATTAATTTAATTTGATGTAATATATATATTATAGCAATTATTTGGTACACGTCATTGAATTTTTAAAATATATTTAATTCCTTTGAAACAATCCAGATGAATATTTAATATTAAATTTAAAAGTCGTTAACGGTACCTGAAGTATTTTGTGATTCGTTGGGATTATCAATAATTTATGCGATTGGGACAAGGTCAACCGATTTATGTGTATATTGTTAAAAAGATATTTAGTACAATTGTCTAATCCACTTTTTTTTTAATCAAATTATTGTAAAACGTATAAATCGATTATTTTTATACATAAAAAAATACATTTCAATAATACATAATATTAGTAATAAAAAAAAAGATATATAATAATAATAATTATATTAATAATATTAAAATAATAATATAATAGAAATAATAATTATGAATGATAAATATAGTTATATTTATTATTTTATTGTAAATTTTGTAAAATATATTTTTTTATTAAAAAAAAAATATAATTTCTTCTTTTATAGCTACTTGATGACTTGTGAGTCATTAAATTTATGTATAAAAGCAATCTAGGTATTAATGTTTATTGTAATTTATTTTCATTTGCTTTAATATTTAAAATTGTTAACCTTTTCTCATTTTTATCACGTACACGAATTCAAACGAAACGGCAGCTGACAAGAAGTCTACTTAACATATAATAATATTATTATTATTTATGGGGCAAAATTTCTAAAGTGATCCAAGTGAAAAAAAAATTTTTTTTTCAAATTTCAAATTATTGTTAGGTTTTATCAAAAAATGGTAGAAAGAAAGGGGGTTAAAGTTTTTTTTTTTTGACTTTTTTTTAGAAAAAGAACGTTTTTTTATTTATTTTTTTTTTGTCTTTAAAAATGCCGCTAGGTGGCAGCTACTAAACACGTGTTCACATGTGTCTCGGTTGATTTTGTTTAAATAAAACGGTTTAAGTTTGGTCTGTTCTTTTACAACCTTATAGTTATAAACATTATTTTGTGCTGGTTTCTAGTGAAAGTTTTTTATTATCTGCACCATTTGTCTTAACTTGGCTCTCTGATTTGAATTTTTTCTAACCTAACATTGGACTGATATACTTGTGTGAAGTTTTTTGTTTATGTAACTTCAATTGGAACTGCTTTCGCTCAATTTACTTTTTATTTTTATTTGAATGGTTATTTGTGTGCAAAAATGGCCTCTAGTGTTGAAAATTGTGCAAAATGTGGTAAAGATATTACACGTGCTATTCCTACTTTGTGTAGGAAGTGTAATCTTCCTTATCATCCCAGCTGTGCGTTACAGCTGTCTACTTTGCCTGATGGGTCGTTCACCAAATGTTGTAAACCTAGGTCATTGTCTCCTTCAAATAATTCTCAATCTTCACAAACCTCTGTTAACTTGGATAGTATTTTGAGAGCTATTAAGGTTTTATCAACAACAGTTTCTGATAATTTTGCCAATATGACTGAAAACATGTCAGATATCAACAAAAAACTCGATGATACACTGTGTAGGCTGAGTAATATGGAAAGCAGAGTTGTTAATTTGACAGAGCGTCTTAATGTTGTCGAAGAGAGACTTGATAAATCTGAGGCAAATGGTTCTACAAATATTGATTCTAAATCAGTAACTAATGTCTGTATAAATGAACTTGTTGATCGAAATGAAAGAAAGAACAATCTTGTTTTATTTAATCTTCCAGAATTTGACACTTCGTTAAATAATAGTTGTTCTTTGAAATCTGTGGTTACGAATAAATTAAAAAAATTCATTCAAACAGATGATCTTGAAAATATACGCACATTTAGAATTGGTTCTAATGCGCAGGTTTCTCGTAAGCCTCGCCCTGTTAAGATTGTATGTGAGACGGAAGAGAAGGCACAAGTAATTCTAAAAAAATTTGTAAGTGTCAAAAGAGACTCAACACGTTCAAGGGAGTTGGAAGATCTTTGGATGTCGAATGACAGGACGGTTATGCAGAGGGAGGAGATTAAGAGAGTGAGGGAGGAACTAGAGACCCGTCGATTAGACGGAGAAATGAATGTGTCAATGGTCTACCGGCGTGGAATCCCTACCATAATTAAAATCCCCCCTAGAAATCCCACATCCACTCTTACAGTCCAAATAGATGCGTGTAAGGAGAATCTATAGTGATTTCCCCACTTGGTGCCCAAGGTTGTGTCCCTTCCTTGAGATAAACTTATTTTATTTCTATCTATGAAAGTGATTTAAGGAAATACATACAGAACTAAATGTAGACATTGTGATTTAGATAAAATCAGTATTATTGAACAATAACAATTATTTTTGAATTTAATTGATATAATGGTAAAGCAGATTCTATTTATCGAAAATTAATCTTCTCTTTTGATAATAATGTAATTTGATTTATGTTATTCTTTACTGTATAAACTTATAATGAACTTTAGCCATTATAGCGCCTACCTAGATTTAGTTAATATTTTATATTTTGTATTGTTACTTACGTAACTATTAGAATTTAGGAGTACTTTTGTACGAAAGGGCATGTCCCGTTATGTTCTAAATAAATAAATAAAAATAAAACTTAATACGAAAAATAAAAAAAAAATGTGGCTTTTATTATTTTTGAGATATTGATTAATTAAAATGAATAAAAAATAAAATATTTCATGAATAAAGTTAGCTAAATATAATTTTTTTTTTCGATTTAGGAAATAATAGAAACAAAATTTTATGAAATATTAAATTATTATTATTATTTATACTAAGTATTAAATTATCATTTATATTAATATTAATTATATTAAAGGAAAAAAAATCGTATTAAATAAATTAAGCGTAATTCTGGACTTACGAATTTAAAAATTATTCCGCAACCAAAAAATACAATATGAAATAATTTCGATTAATGCATTTTTAATAAAAATAATTAATTATAATTGTTTATTAAAAATCCATTAATTAAAAATACTTCATATATTAGACGTGAAATTTCATAATTTTTCAAATTAATTTTTCAAAAAGTTCAAAATTACCCTAATTGTGAAATATTTAATTTTTTCATTAACTTTTATTAATTAATTAATAAATATCTCGAGAACAAAAAACTGCATACATTTTTTTTTTTTGAAAAATTTTGATATTGGATCACTTGAAAAATTTTTCCCCACATTTGTTTTTTCTTTTTCTTTAAATATAATGCGCTACCTGCATTTGTCGGATATAAACGATTGAAATAAATATATGCACTTAAAAAATTATATATTGCACGCATAGCATTAAAGTTATGTCATTATTCACAACATGCTTCATATCAATTCTTCTCTTTATTTACATTAACATTTTTTTTAGATATTTAAATACTTTTCAATTTATTTTATTCCACTAATTAATTAAATTCATAATAGTAGCTTTAATTTTACAGATAATTATTAAATATATTATAATTTTACAAGACAATAAATATAAAATATAATGTAATAT